AAGTATCAAAAGCCACCAAATCCATTTATAGAGCGTTTCGTAGAATTTTTTTTGTATGTTTATAATTTCTTCCATTGATTTGTTTAACATAATTTACGTGTAGACGAACATTATCTACACTGCATTTTGACAGAAACTGCAAACAAGAATATGGATTTGGCGGAAGTTGATACTTAAAAACAGTTCAGTCCCATATTTGACTGCGTATTTTCATACGATCTGCTCGGTTTTGGACCAATTTCACGTTTACATTGCATTCCTGGAGGTAAAATCTATCAGAAACGTCAAATAACTCAATTTCGTAAAAAAAATGGATCTAGCATCATTTGATATTAGACGATTCAGATGTTCTGTAGTATTAATCTAAAATAAAGAATCCCCGCCAATATAATGATTACAATTATTTTTATTATTGTCATTACTTTCATTGCTATGTTATTTAAACGTAGATGTACTTGTAGACAAACATTCCTACACGCATTTCGACAGAAATTGACGCAACTTATTTGCTCAAAATCCATCGTCTTTCCCCTGTGTGTCTTGGCATTGATGTGTGGCGCTCCTGTCTGTTGCAGACGTGATGCAGGCGTACCAGATCCAGGTGCCGAAAGTGTTCGTGATGAAGGGCAACGTGGCAGTGCTCCAGTGCAATATCCCTCCCTTCGTGCGCAGTCTGGTGTCGGTGGCCACGTGGCTTCGCGACGAACCGCTGCTCGGACGCACGGCGCTGCACCCCGGAGGAAGGTACGGCTCCCGGTGCCAGCGCTACCAACTTCGAAACGCACCGTTCAGAACACGAACGTGGTTGTCTGATGGTTCTACATAAAAATACGTATTGCGTTTTGTTCGAGTTGTATTGATTGGGAGTGGTATTATATTATTTAGTTATTGTAGGAATTACATCCAGAGAGACGTGCTTCCTCCGATCAATACCAGATGGATGCTGGAGTAGTGTTCCAAAAAACGGATCACTGACCGCAAGGGATATTCGGCGATAAGTATTTGTTTGAAGTGTAATGGCTGTTCAGGAGACGCTAGAAGCAATTATAGAGATATGTTCATTTCGTTGCCGTATTGGTCTGTACTACTCTACTGTGTCTTGATCGCTGATCAAGGCGAACGTTTATATGTTACTACAGAGCATGGTGCACGTCCAGTGATTTCATTAAAATATCACCCTCCCGGGTTAAGACTAACACCTCCCTGGATCGTCTTTAAGTAGCAGACCATTCCAGTAGCATCTGTAATCGCCAGAACGTGATGCCGCAAAGAACATCGCCCTCTGTGTTTGACAGCTCGAGTCGTCCCAGCTCTGCAGGCTGGTTCCGGAGCGAATGCGTTTCTGGGCTCCTTCGGTCTTTCATTATCATCTTCAGTCTCTAGTCTCTCACCTTCAGCCATCTCTCACCGTCATCTTCAATCTCTCTCCTTCATCTTCAATATCTCACCTTCAGTCTCCAGTCTCTCCATTGTTTCTTAGTGGGACCTATTATATTACCGTGAGTCAAGCCACTTTTGAATTTCCTGTCTGACCTAGGGGACTAATATTCTCCAAGTTAGTGAGTTTTAATCCTTCATTGAAATCACATTTAATACATTGAGTAATCATAAATTGAAGTTGACCTAAATAACTCTTAGCACCAGAAATTGATTATTTCGTGTTTCCGGGTACTTCCGCGGCTGTGGTAATTAATCCCATAAGTGTAGTATATGTTTTTCCTCGAGAGACGGCGGCGATCTTCCCCCGCTCTATGGTGGTATCCGTGGCCTACACGTAAGCTTGCGAGAGTTTCCACAACAAGGTATCTCTCGGTCATAATGAGGACAAGCTCAAAGCTCCCGACATGTGTGGTGGTGTAGAGCCTTTAAGTGTGAATATCTGTGAATGTAAGTAAAGAACGATGATAGAAGAAGGAATAGGACGCAAAGACCGCGCGCGGTGCGTGGCCCGTTTGTTAGGGTACTACTCCGGCATTCGTCTGGTGTTGATGGGAGAAACCGCGGAAAACTGCCAATCAGAGCAGCCGGCCGCTAGAATTATTTTCTAGACAGCGGCTGAATTAGTCCTAGCTACCCAGGTAGTGTATAAACTCCAGCCATGTTGTTTTCTGTAATTTTCATTGCTCTGTAATGTGGTTTGTGAGTTTTAACCCTTACATTTTGACCTTTGACCTCTCTTAATAACTTTGATGCATGCGACTGCTCTGCAAGATTTACCAACCGTTCTCGCAGTAAGGCAGCCTGTCAAAGAGTGGGCGTTATGCCAGGCATTTTCAACGTGTTCTTCGGAACTTCGGTTCTCAATGCATGAGTTGGAGTCCTGTTTTCAGGCAGGCGAGAGGACTCTTTGAACTTTCTTGTAATATGTGAATAGGGCGCTCAAACTAGAAATAACATTTCTCTACAAGATAACTCCACAATGAAGCATTTCCGAACTCATATTGTAATGGACTTTCTCGCTTTTTGCAGCTGTGATTAAACCCGAAGGGCGTATTTCTTAGTTTCGGTTTACGTTTTAGCTTATCGGAGATATCCATTGTACTGGAACTCTCACTGGCAGTTTTTCTCCGACTAGCAGTTTTTCCTCCGGAGGCGAGCGGTAAGAAGAAAGGTGAAGATACGTCGCTTGGGCCACATAAAGGGTGAATTAACTCTGTTACTCGCTTCAAATCTTGAAATTCATTTAGAAAAACTTTATGATTGTATTTGTTTAATACAATTTTACTTTTTATTATTAAAAACGTTTGTGAAATATATTTGTGTTTGGAAGCACTAAGTATTCTTGTTAGAATAAATTTACGTACAAAATACAGGAAGACTGAAGATGGTCTGAGCCCTTCCTTCACATAAATCCATTCTTTTTATTTCGGCCTTCAGTGTTGTACGTACATTATGAAACGTTTAAGAGGAGAGGAGGGGTTTGAGACTAGGTTACGTTGCATTATTTAGGGTTTGAGAATGTTACTTTACAGTTATGTAACGCTGATATTTATTTTTTGAAAATTTCCAACATTTATGAAAATAAGTTCTTTTATTTGATCTTATACTAAAACATTAAAATATTGACAAATTAATTCTTAAGAAGTATAGGCTTAAATAAATTAAAACGTTATGACGTGTAAGTTATTACACTAAAAAGCACTATTTTTCCATGAGTATTACGTTGATTGAATCTGTTATATTACGAAGAAAATTTTCGAAACTGATCTACATTCTAGAATCCTATTAAAATGACGCATTAGACTTTCGCCCATGTTTGCACAGAGTTTTGTTAAAAATATTCTAGTTTGTAGCGTCTTTCCTTCACTTAAAAATTGCCCCCCATTTTTAGTGTAGTCCGCACCGCATCCGTCAACAAATTCTATTTTTAATTTTTATACATTTTAATATATAACACAAATATAATTAATACAACTTGTTTTAGTGCTCTATAGTTTATTTTTACTTACTCTAGAACGAGGCGGGGGTGTCACAACCGTTACGTAATTATTTGAAATGGACCAAGGGCGTGTTACAGGGATGTTACCGAGGATATTCAAAATACCACAAAATTGCGTTCCGTAATTTATTGTCCGTTCCTTCTGAATCCGTTGCTGCAGTTCCCCGTTGGGATTCTGTTTTTAAGTATCACAAATTTTAATATATAACACAAATAAAATGAATACATCTTGTCTTAGTGCTCTATAATTTATTCTTACTTACTGTAAATCGGGACGGGGGTATCACAACCTTTACGTAATTGTTTAGGATGGTTCAAGCACTTGTTACAGGGGATATTCAAAATACCCCAAATTTGCATTCCGTAATTTATGGTCGGTTCCTTCTGAGTTCGTTCCTGCAGTTTCCTCGTTGGGGTCTGTTTGTCACTGAACGAAGTGGTCCTTCCGCCCGCAGATACACGTTGACGTCGGCCGGCGCCCTGCACATCCGCGACGCGGAGGAGAGCGACAACTACGCGGTGTACTACTGCCAGACCACGCACCGGCTGACGGGCGAGCGCCGCCTCAGCGAGCCAGGCAAGATCTTCGTCACAGGTGAGGAGAAACCCATTGCAATGATCTTCTTATTATTACGTCTTACCAGATTTAGGCATAAGGTCTTTTTTAGATCGTGTGTAAGTCGTGTATCCCACACTTTTTATGCCAAGTGGATTACTACAGGTGTCTCGGAATAAAGGCTCCAAACTTCTGAGAGCATAAGAGAGGAAAATCATTACTTTTTGCTTCTGAATACGTATGGAATATGATGAATAACATTCCACATATATATATATATATATATATATATATATATATATAGAGAGAGAGAGAGAGAGAGAGAGAGAGAGATAAGGAACTTGCATATAACTCTGTTGTACGTATATCTGATGTATGAAACTGCATTGCAAGTCCTCTCTTCAATTGACATTTATTAAATTCTCTCTTATTGTTTTAACTGTTGCCATTGGAACCGGGAAGGAAGAAACGGGCGCGGTACTGCTTGTGAGTAGTTCAGAATTTGGTCAGTCAGAGTGGTTCCGTATTCGCCCAAATTTGGTTGAACACTGCCCTTTATGACGGAATATTTCAAAAGCTCCGAAGAATTTGGAGACGGTGGCACTGCATCCATGCAATTTTAAATCCATGTACTTATAATATTTGTACTCGTTCTTCTTTATAGCAACTCTACACACTCCTCCGCGTACGGAAATGCCATTGGTATGCTACCGTTAAAAAAACATTGTAATTAGCAGTCGGCGGCGCTGGAGGTGGAAGGATCAAGTGACGACAATGCGGTCCCTTGTTCCAAAGCCCCACAGTGAGCCCTGTCTTGTTTTTGCAGAGCCCGAGGGCAACGTGCCGCCCCGCGTGGAGCACGCCGCCCCCGCCGTCAACGCGCGCGCGGGCACCTCGGCCGACCTCGTGTGCGCCGCCCAGGGCTACCCGCCGCCCGTCTACAAGTGAGTGCGCACCCCCCTCTCCACCCGCTCGCTCGCGCCCAACGCTCATGACATTCCATTAATGCACGAGCAACCTATGCACGAGCAACCTATGCACGAGCAACCTATGCTCGAGCAACCTATGCACGAGCAACCTATGCTCGAGCAACCTATGCACGAGCAACCTATGCACGAGCAACATATGCACATGCTTAGGGTTAGTTCCAGCTCCGTCCCCAACTCTAATCCTCTGGACTCGGGCCTTCGGACAATCCATCGCCTGTTTCGTTTCGCATCTGCGCCCTTTCTGATTATAAACCTCGCAATCCCACCGTTTCTATTGCGCTATCCTAACCTTTCACTCTCCAGAGTTTATTATCCCGTTAGGTACTGCACTGAAAGCACAAATCTTCTGCATACCAAGAATGTCCCCAATTGTCCCGAAGGATTTGCGAGTTTACAGACGTCACGCCAAGGTCCTAAATGGTCTGTAGCGCTGTAGGAAGAAATGGTACATTTGCTTGTGTGTTATACGCAAGGTGATTCATTTCATTTACAAAAATATGCCATCATGTTACCAATATTTCAATCCTTTAGTGTTTGGGTTGATGCTCAGAGGCACGGTATTTTGCGTTATTTTTTTTATTTGCGATGCAACCAGAAATCTCACCTGCATACCTTTTCATAAAATGTTGTAACCACGATAAGCCAAGCCCTATACTAAATGTTTCTTCATTTTTTAAGTAAACTTTTCTTGAATGAAAATAGTATTTGAACTTGTTCTTGTGAATAAATAGGGGATAGTAGTAACGCTGAGGTAGTTAAAAGTTTAATTTCACATATTCGTTTACTTTTCTTGAATGAGAATAGTATTTGAACTTGTTCTTGTGAATAAATAGGGAATAGTAGTAACTCTGAGGTAGTTAAAAGTTTAATTTCACGTATTCGACGATCTCCATTGGAAGTATGTTCCTGGAAGTCACGTCAGTCGGAAGCAAGTGTGTGTGTTCGTGTGTGGTAGATGGTACCGCGAGATGGGCGGGTCGCTGGCGGAGATGCGGCCGGGGTCGGTGCTGGCGCGGCCGCTGCAGTCGGTGCTGCAGTTCCCGCGCGTGCAGCCCGAGGACGCCGGCCGCTACGTGTGCGTGGCGACCAACCTGCTGGGCGAGGACCGGCGCGAGCTCACGCTCTCCGTCGCCACCTCCCTCACCGCGCACATCCGCCCGCAGCAGCAGGTGCGCCAACTTCTGCGTGCATTGACTATTGCATGTTACCGAAAGCGTCAGTTGCCGTTGTCAATAGTCCAGTGAGCGTGAGGCAGGTTATATCGCAAGAGTTGGCGGTGTTCCTCTCCTGCTCGAACATGAGATCTAGGTCAGACCTAAACATAGGCTTGAGGGGTTTTCTTTATCCAGGTATCTCCGCAAGTGGGTCACCGCCCTGACCGGGAGAAGCTCTAAATACCTGACTGGTCTCCTGATATGTATGGTATTGCAGTACTCTCCGCGTACGAAAATGCCATCGGTATGCTGCCATTAAAAAGCATTGTAATTTGCATACTCTCCGTCCACGGATGAGGAAAGAACAAGGATGAGGAAGGAAATATCGCGCGGTCCGTGACCCTTTTGTTAAGGTACTGCTCCTGCATTCACCTGGTTTTGGAGAAACCACATAAAGTAACCGACTAGAGCAGCCAGCCACTACAATCCTTCTCCACAAAGCGTCTTAATTCCACGTAGCTCTCAAGCTAGGCTCGAAAGTCCGCCACGGTAGAAAAAATGCCAAACCCTAAAACCTTCCCGTCAGAGACTGTGCAGTGATAACATTTGTTGAGCTATCTTAACCGATTTCTACCCGGTGCGGTCCGTGAAAAGAAACGATCATAAGTATGCGATTTCAATTCTCGTCTGGCGAAATTTTCTTTCTTATGGCTCTGCCAAAACCTACAGTTTCGTTTCCGTCAAAGTACATTAAATATTTTCATCTTGCCTAAACGACCATGATTCTTCTTAAAGCCGTGCTGCCTCATGCGTCAGCTGTGTGGTACACAGTGACACACTGAGTATGACAATTCAGTTGGTATGATAATAGGTGGAAAACCACAACTTTTCGATCAAAATCGGAACTGTTTCACTATTTATGGATTTCACCCCAAATACATTGGTCCCCAAAGGGTCCCTTATTCCCTAGACTAAGAACCATCACATGGCCGTTAGCTGCGTAGTTTTCTTTAATTTCAACGCGCATTTGAAATTAGAAATAGAGATTGTTTCCGTCATCCACTGATCATATGTTGTGTGTGCAGGTGGTGGACGCAGGCACGTCGGCGGTGTTCAACTGCTCCATCCAGGGGGGCTCGGCGGGGGGCGGGGCGCACGTCACCTGGCTCAAGGACGGACGGCCGCTGCTGGACGGGCCGCGGGTGAGCGTGCTGCCGGGGGGCCACACGCTGCTCGTGCGCTCCGTGCACAAGTCGGACCGCGGCATGTACCAGTGCATGGCGCGCAGCGGGGACGAGAGCGCGCAAGGCAGCGCGGAGCTCACTCTCGGTGGTAAGTGCGTCGCTGCGGTTTCTTCCAAATGACAAGAGACGGTGCACGGGAAGCCGTCATTTGTTTAGTTAAAGGGAGAAATGACAAGGAACGGTGCACAGGACACCGTCATTTGTTTTATTAAAGAGAAAAATGACAAGAAACGGAGCACAGGAAGTCGTCATTTGTTTAGTTGGAGAGAGAGAGAATTGACAATAAACGGCGCACAGGAAGTCGTCGCTTGTTTACTTAAAGGGAGAAATTACAAGAAACAGTGCACAGGAAGCCGTCATTTGTTTAGTTAAAGGGAGAAATGACAAGGAACGGTGCACAGGACGCCGTCATTTGTTTTATTAAAGAGAAAAATGACAAGAAACGGAGCACAGGAAGCCGTCATTTGTTTAGTTAAAGGGAGATATGACAAGAGACAGTGCACAAGAAGTCGTCATTTGTTTAGTTAAAGGGAGAAATGACAAGAAATGGTGCACAGGAAGCTGTCATTTGTTTCGTTAAAGGGAGAAATGACAAGAAACGGTGCACAGGAAGTCGTCATTTGTTTAGTAAAGGAAGAAAGACAAAGAACGGTGCACGGAAGTGTCATTGTTTAGTTAAAGGGAGAAAATGACAACAAACGTTTGACAGAGGGAAGTCGTCATTTTGTAGTTAAAGGGAAAAATGACAACAAAACGTGCACAGGAAGCTGCTCATTTGTTTAGTTAAAGGGAAAAATGACAACAAACGGTGCACAGGAAGTCGTCATTTGTTTAGTTAAAGGGAGAAATGTAAGGTAAAGGCGCAGGTAGTTGACATGTCATCAGGAGTTGACACTTTCATATAGAATGCTTATAAATCAGAAAATGAGTACCATGCTTTACACTGTGTCTGTACGGTGGAGCCATCTCCATTGTAAAACCAGTAACTATCATACTAGTCTGGTCATCATTAGAGATGAATGGTTTGTTGTGTATTTAAAAGTGTCAGCTACTGATATGACGACTACCGGTGCCTTTACCTTAAATATAAAATGGCACATTTTTTACTAGTGAAAATTTCTGTAAAATAGTGGCCTAAATAGCCACAATATAGAGTAAAACTATTTTTTTACGTCTGCGAAGAAAATGGTTTCTCTCAGATAAAACTCTTTTCCCACTAAATGGGCAGTTTTCAGATGTTCCATATTTCTTGGCCACTGGTGATATCTTTCCACATTATTTTTGGTCATGTTTTCATTCAAAATCAACCAGAAACGGAGACAGTATATTTTCATGAATAAAAACGAAAAGTGTGTTACCCAGCACTTATCGTTTTGTGTATGAGTCATCATAAGACCTCCATAAGGAAGGCTAGTGCAAATAAGAAAATCGAGGGTAGAATAGTTTTGCAAGTTGCAAAATTAAGTCATCAAACGCTACGTTTTATCGTTTTTTATATTAAGGCATTAATAGCATAGATTAACTTTGTGATTTGTCCTTAAATGAAAATAAGTTATTTATTTTACAATATTGCATCGCTGAATTCGAATTTAAAAACTAAAATATTTTATCATCTGATATATTCCCATAAATTAATACTATAAAATGTTTTACTTTTTTTCAAAATGTACTTACAAGAAAATTTTACTAATTCCATTATTTATGCAATCGTCAAAAGTTTTTCATTCAGAAAACAATTTTTACGGAATAAAATATTCGCTTTCGAAATGAGCAAGCACTCCCACGTAAAGCGGTAATAAGATTATTTATGACCGATCCGCTCAGTCAAAGATGCTGTACGAGTATCAACTCATCTTCTCTATCCGAAATGCTGCTTGACTCCTCCATACGATGAGGTGATTTGACCATTCCCATCTTTGTTGTATCTCCAAAGATTTTAATTTTGTATGGAAGATGGTTAGAACCTCAATTCTAATAGTTTCCAAAACTCCGGTAAAATGAATCCTTTTTGAACTGCGAAGTTTAGTTGTAACGTCAGCAATGTGCAATTATTATAATACTAGTAGTCACATTTGTATTGTAACTCATAGATTTACAAATATAAAAAGTAATTAACCAGAACATCCAAGAGATGACGATATCATTACTTACTCAAGTATTTCGATCTGGATTACTTCTGGTTACTCTATTCATTGGATTAACTCAAAATCAGAAGAAAAGAAGCAACGTAACTTGAACACTCAACATTAATAACGAATGAATACACTATTTAATTTATTTCACACATTTTTATTAAGTTATTGACTAGACTATTCCAATAATTTAGAAATAAGTTGTAAATTATTTCTTGTATTTAAAACAACCGTTATTGTACGTATAACTGAATTGCTTTCCAGCGGTTGCTCCAGAGCTGCAGTCCACCTTCATTGAACAAACCTTGCAACCTGGCCCTCCAGTGTCACTGCGCTGCACAGCGTCAGGGAATCCTCCTCCACGTGTGACGTGGCTGCTAGATGGGGGAGACCTTAGGCCGCGTGGGTACGTTTTGGGCAGCTACTTGGATGCCTCTGGAGATGTCGTCTCTCATCTCAACATCTCATCCGTACGCGTGCAGCATGGAGGCCTTTACACATGTGTAGCTCGAAATATGTTGGGGTCGTCGCAACACTCTGCAACTCTAAATATTTATGGTAAGGCATTTCAATAATATTGTCATATGTTATTTATACATGACTAAGCTTTATGAAAACATTCCATTTAAATATATGAATTGGATTAGAAATATATTTCAACAAAATGTCATAATTTATCTTTTTTAATAACATAGTTTACAAATTGCTAATTAGATGATTTCTCAAACAAATGGAAGTGGAATTTTTGCTGAGTTTTAAAATGATCACATACTTTTTTTCTACTCTCATTGTATAATTCTTGCATTTGATGGCTACAACCAGTCGCATAATGATACTCATTACGATACAGATTCATTGTGGTACAGGTTCTTGACCAATTACAGACCAAGTATTGACACATAATCAATGAGAATCATTTTAGTAAATGTTTCGTGCGATTGGGTACATTAAAATTGCATTTAATATTACATTATGCTTGTCAGTTTAATTTTTTATAATTAGTATTTTTTGTGGAATATTATTTAAAATAAATTGGATCGTAATTTCACTTCGATCCCCTTTGACTAGCGCAGTACTCCCCCCTGGTAACCAAGCTACCTGCGGCAGTGTAGGATAGGGTTAGGGAACTGTCCGCTAAATCGCCTTGGCTGGATTCTGCATGTCAACTGCCACAAAACGATTCATTATAAAAATTTAACTAATATAAGTTGCCTTAAGTTGTAGAAAACTTACCGTATGAAACTCGATGTAAGGATCAATACACTCTATGTTAAATGATTAAACACTCGAATCTCGAGGTAATGGTAATACACTCGTGTTGATGGTTACGTTACTCACTCGTACGTAGTATCACACTCGTGTATTAATACCCATCATTACATCATAATGTACTATTATTTTTTTCTCCATTAGCAATTAAAAACACTTTCCTACAACTCATGTAAGGGAATACAATACATTATTATTATTATGCTTTCTTATTTTCCAGGACCACCGTCACCAAGACCTCCTCAAAATCTGACCGTAGTGGATGGTACTGACGTTTTTCTGCGGTGTCCGGTGGCTGGATTCCCCATAGCCAGCGTCACGTGGCAGCGAGGAGGCGAAATCCTCCCCACGAACCTGCGCCATCACATTTTTCAAAACGGGACCCTCCAAGTGCGCAAAGTGGAGGGAGCCAAGGACCGCGGGGAGTACACGTGCGCGGTGCGCAATCAACAGGGACAACAAGCGACCGGGCGACTGCACCTGGAAATCATGAGTGAGTTACATCATGAATACTGGAGAACTGTTTCCTTTTCGAAGTTAACCCTTCCTCTCCAAGTCTTAATTATAAGCAATATTTCAATTTTAAATAATGTCAGTGTTCTCTATTGGAGCAAATTTGTGTTATGAAGACACTGAATTACGGAAACATCTTAAATGAAACCTAAAAATAAGTTTTGGCGCTCCTGAATGATAGATGTCGATTTGTTTGAGATCACTAGAGCATTGTAAGGATGTAATCATAACTGTCCAGTGTGTAATCATGACTTGAATTGGTTCGAATCTTTATCCGTGCGTTCTTCATCCGTGCTTAGTTGCTACACTACGAAGTGATCAAAAGTATTCGAACACGTGGCTGAAAATGACCTACCAGTTTGTGACGTTTTCCATAGGTAATGCTGGAATTCAATAGGGTGTTGGCCCACCCTTAGTCTTGACAGCTTTCACTCTCGCAGGCATACTTTCAATCAACTACTGGAAGGTTTTTGGAGGAATGTCAGCCCATTTTTCACGGAGTGCTGCATTGAGGACACATCGGTGTAGGTCATTGAGGCCTGGCACGACATTTCGTCGGCATTTCAAAACATCCTAAAGGTCCCATCCCATAAGATTCAAATCAGGACTCTGTGCAGACCAGTCCATCTCAGGGATGTTATTGTCGTTAACCACTCCACCACAGGCCGTGCAGAATGAACGGGTGCTCGATCGTGTTGAAAGATGCAATCGCCATCCACGAAATAATCTTCAACAATGAGAAGCAGGATGTTTAAAACATCATCGTAGGCCAACATCATCCATGATAGTGCAATACAAAACATCAAGAGGTGCAAGGCCTCTCCATGAAAAACTTAACCACACCATAACACCATTTTCGACGTGTACGGATACCTTGAATCACATACTTTATATCCCTGTGGTTAAGTGGAGGGGGAGAGGCCTTTGGAAAGCAAACAATGGTTAGTCAACACCGAAGTTAATGGGGCATACGAATCAGTCTCGTATGTCAGCTGTTTGTGGTTTTGAAAGCTCTAGAACTATAATTTAAGAACATAACAATGGATTAGCGTTATAAATTGCAAAACATGCTACCAGAGAGCTCCAAAATGACTCTGCGGTTACGGAGGCGACAACAATGGGCAATCACTATGCGCCCAAAATTAAAACTAGGAATGACCTGACACAATTTTCTCAAATAGTAATGCATCAGACTTCTCTAGTACTTTCCGAAATGAATCTGATACAATATCTGTGATTTAGTCAACTGCAAACGAACGAATCCATGAGGAGTCTAATGGGCTCAAGAAAACAACGATCACAGAACCTTCAGTTGTGTTGTCAACACTAGCTGTCAAAACGGTCCATTCTTATAAAAATAGCTCTATACACATGTATAGTTAATGAACAATCCGGAACAGGAATATAAATTCATGCATGAGATGACGAATAAATGGATCTTACTTAACGAACTGACAACTTTATTTTCTTCAAACAATGAGAATTACTATTGATAGAATTCTAATTCTGTGTGGAATTTTCACCCGAATCGCACAGCATATTGCGGCTTAGAAACTAAGAAACAAATAAGTCGTTTTTAAAAATTAAAATAATAAGTCTGTAGCTGGTATAAGAACTAGTACTACTAAAACCGCACGTACTTTCTCGTCTTTAGTCAAGTAATACTATTTAGTATACCACAATTTCTCTCCGAATTAATACACCTCAGTATTCATTTTTTGTAAAACCCATTAGAAAATACGCATTCAGAATTCTTTCAAATTCTTTTAGCCTTCGTGCAGCTCTTTGCGCGTATTATGCAAATATGCATTCCCATTTGAGATATAGCACAATAGTCTGGAGAAGCTCATCGTGAAGCTCATCCAGACATTCAGATTGCAAAAGAAAATTATTCGAATACTAAAAAAATGCCATCCGCGTGATCCCTGCAAGCCTCCCTTCATTGAACTTTTAATCTTATCATTGCCTTGCCTATTTATATACGAATCTGTATTTTTTGTCAAACCTGACGTACTAAACGGTGGTGGCATATTTTCATGCAGTACTGATATTTATAATTATCACACACGGATAAATCACGTTCATCAAGTGTCAGTAATCAACAGATCACTACCAGAAATCCACATACAATGCATGGACGTTACTTTACAACGCACTGTCAGAAGACATTAAACAATTGATGTCGGTACACAAATTTAAGTTAAATATTTTCTACTTCTTAACTGTTTCTATTCAATTAGAGACTACATTGATCATCAAAAAGAAAAATAATATTTATCTTAGCAAAACAGTGATAAATAATGAATTAGTTTACATTTGTATTGTATATTTTTAAAATACTTCATATGCTTGTGACAAATAATGTACTTCAGCTTCAGGATCAATGACCCCCATCTCGATCAGGATTTTGTCCAGTTTCCCTGATCCATTGAGCAAATGCTGAGATAGCCCCTTGTTTTGCTTCTGGACATAAATGTAGCTTCACTATGCGCACGTTTTGTTGAACTCTCCTTTTGCTTTTAGAGGTAGGATTATAAGTAAGAGCAAGTCACCATTTTGTTGGAAATGCAGAAAAATCAAATCTGCAGTTCGTTTGCAAATACGTTTTCTGTAACTCAGGAACGAACATGTCTAGTTTTTCAAATGTTGCTTTTCTCACGCTTTTTTAAATACTTTTTATTTTTAACTTTTACTCATCCTTTAACTATTTATAATTAAAATGATAGGAAGGGATTCTAGAACTCTACAAAACGTGCGCAGAGGATCTTCTCCCTCACACGTCACATTCAGTTTTTACTGGTTTTGAAATTAAATAAATCAAACATAAATCAAATTAAATTTTTTCAAGCAATCAACACAAATTTGATAATTATAACTGCTTTTCTTACTGGTAAATCATGTCCAAACAATAAGACATAATTCGAAGAAATTAGCTACCGAGCCATTGTTGCATTCCAATCTGATATTTCCTGAAGGCTAGCAATTTTTATTTTACAGATTTCAAATAGTTTTTAGTTATTTCTAAAAGATTAATTTGTAAATGTATAACAAAAGCTCGAATATTAGAAACAAACCAAGAAATATTAATTAAAATACAAATTCTAACTTACGAAGCATCCAACTGTCTGGAATTATGTTCAAAAAGCGCAGTAAATTCGGAGCGGGCTATTATGTTTGTGCCAAATCAAACAAAAAATATTTTGTTTTTAACAAGCATGAAACCTGTGCCATTCTCTTAAACGTCTTTAACACTATATAATAACAAAGTTTAATAAAAACGTTGGAACGATGTTTTTGAAATTATTGAAAATGCCCCAGGGCTTCATATAAAGTACTCCCCAAAATTATAATATCGATTTCAAATTTAGTGGTCCGCAACATCAGTCAGCTTGATTGAAGAATATCAATTTTGAAGAAAATCGGCTGAACGATTTAGCCGCTAGAGTTGTTCGCAGACAGACACGTTTTGCCATCAATCATTTTTCGGAATCAAAGATCCACAAAACTTGGACTCTGGCTACAGCACATGTTAGAGATTTTTTTATAAATTAAGCATCTGGATTTATACACTTCTTCGTTGCCATTACCCTTTAAGAAGAGTTTTTCTCTCGAAAATGCCTCGTTTTTTCGCATAGCATTACATAACTTTATCTCTACCACGTAAGCGGTTCCCGTCAGCCCGACTGCCCTTCTGCCCGTCTAAACGTCTGAGCAAGCGTCCGTCAAGAGTCAACATTAGTGTTTAAATAGTTCACAAAATTTTCTTTAAAATTTGATAATTAAATATTTTTCAAGGAATTGTCACCTCGACCGGGATTCGAACCCGGGTCTCCTGGTTTGGGGTGGTGACAATTATATCTCAAATGTACTCGAATATTCCCCGATTGATCTAGATGAACTCGGGGCTAAGTGAATTTGAAACGTATATTTTGATTTTGGGGGGACATTTACATGATGCCTTAGCATTGTCTCAAAAATGGGTACAAAGAACACAGTATTTAGTAAGTATGCAAGAGTCTTTTTGTACAGTACTCCTTAGTACTAGAGAGGAAATCATGTAAGGATTAATTCTAAAATGAAAATATCAAGAAGAAATAATATCAACGAACATATTTAAAATTATATTTCAATGACCTTTTGGAGGAAAAATGCACGTGGCAGAATACAAAACTGTTTGAAGGAATAGGCTTGGCACTAGACATTTTACTCGCAGCGGCTTCAGGATGAACGGGACAAGCTGAGGCACCTATTGTCAACGGATTACTATATCCATGGTCCTGAAACAGAAAATGCAGATAAATATTAGTTTCTATACACATTGAAGATGTTTTTAGAGAAGGTAGGAAAAAGTGTAGAAACAATTGAGATGAGGCCAACGTGTATTATTAGTAACCCAGATCTACACCTTAATGTCAATTTCATAAAGATAGACTTTACATATCAATAGACATATTAGTTTACTGTGGGTCTCAAATTCTTTAATAGCTATTAACATACCTAGTAATGTTATAAGTGTTATTAATACAGAGGCCAATAGTTAAAAATCGAGACGGAGCGTAGTGGAGCCGAGATTTTTAATTTCGGCGAGGCAGTAACATTTCGTGTTATATGTTTGGCATTTTATCGCTCACCATCAAATAGTGAGTGATTTATATGTGATCACGAAGTGACTCATAATATACAAAGTATAAATTGCATATTATAATGAAGGCTAAAGATAGGAGTAGTTGTAATTTTAAGACACGTTACATAATAAGCACCCCCACTTTCATATATCTGTACCCAATATAAAGTAATAAATTATATAAATACTTACGTACACGAGAACGAAAAAATAGTGCCCGCTCGATATTCATTAAAAAAAGTATTGGAAACTGCCTAAGTTAAACATTACTTGGATCCACTCCTAAGAATCCATAAAAAATCTTCAACTTTAATAATATAGTTAAACATTATTAAATATATAGATATTTTATGAACGAAATATTGTCAATAATTTATGATTTTACTCCTATTGCGATTTTTCTAACCAACTACGTTCAGATACACGCTTGGTGCTCCATTGAGTCATCTAAAGGAGAGATAGTTGACCTTTTTGTAAGCTAAACGCACCCTACCTCCAGCCACATAATAAATAGTAGTGCTATAGAATGACGCAGACTTTCTCATTCTAGTAAGTTTCCTTACCCTATTTCCTTATTTATGTAATTAGCTGCCACCGGGTAATGCCCATTTGCAGTTTGAATAAATTTATCTTTATCTTTTATCTTTATCTTCTCAGTTTCAGCTATTTTTTCGGTTTTGCAGCACCCTCTTTACCGCTATCTACTGGCGCCTAAAATTTTTTGTCACCTTTTCTTTATTGTTCGGATTCCTTCCAGTAGAATTGAAATATGACTCTAATAATATTATACAAGGATAAAATCTGGTTCTGTTTGTACATTTTAATTGGAAAATTTGGAGCGGTTTCTAAGAAAATATTGTTTGAGCGTATTTGAAATGCGCACCGGAAGAGGTGGCTCAGGACATCAACTAATGTCACTGCAGGTCTTCTGACTGGGAGATCCTAGGCTCGAGTCCCGACGAACCGTGGTGGCAGGATTTTCGACATTCGCTTGTAAGCTAGGTCGGGCTAGCATTCAAACGGCCGGCTGCTCTGATAGTAGCCACGGTAGTTTTCCGTGGTTTATTCGATCAACACAAGGTGAATCCCGAAGCAGTACCTAAGCAAACGGGCAACGGACCGCGCGCGATCTTGCCTTCCTATTCCTTGTCCTACCCTCACCCCTTGCTTACACACGCTTATTTACAATAACATGCACTACATTATCGCATGCCGAGAGACCGGTCGGGAGAATAGAGCTTGTCCCGCCCGGGGAGATACCTGGTCGGGGAAAACCTCGCTGGATGACGGCAGGTTCGCGCCAGCTCTCTCCATTCATCGGGGGATGACTCCCGTCACCTTCTGAGGAAAGACATATGTCCTGTACGTATCGAACTATTTACCTTAGCAGATGACACGCACGGAATCACTAATCAATGAATTAATGAAAATACGCATTTTGAAGCGATACATACAAAGTGGTGATTATGTCACGTAATTCAGTGAATTCAGCACTGTTCGTTCCAAATATTAAAGGAGAAAATTTGGATCCATTTTCGAGAAAATGGCGTTTGAGCGTTTCTGAAAATGCGGAATTTTGAGCTCACTTTTACAAAAAAACGTTTCGAATTAACTTAATCGGATATCATTTGAAGCACATATTCCCACAAATGCAACAATGTATAGAAATCGCCGCAAAAATATACAAAAATGCCTGAAGTCTATTACTTCTCTATTTCGAATGTGAAAAACCTTAATAAAATATTCAACAATGAAATTAAACGAAACATTAAGTCTGATACTAACCTCTGCGGGTGGGCCAAACATTTTCTGGAGGTTTGCACGTACGTCCGCAACCATTACTACAGCACTTCATATCATCGGGACAATTGAAATCCCAGAAGCAATTTTCGACACATGAACCGATACCAGGCGGTGGGCAGCTCCCTTCCTTTTGGAGCTGAGCCTTAATGTTAACCAAAAAGAGTGAAGCCACAACTAGCAACACGAGTACCTTATATCCTGTCATGTCTGAGCGAAAGAAGCTGTACACGAATGCTAATGCTGTAGATGTTCGCTCGACGTGTTTTATACAATCCACTCTAGTCCGCTAAGAAAGCTACGCTATTCACCTCTAAAGAATTAGGAAAACTTGCATGCACAAAACTGACGAAGGACGCGCCACACTGCAAGTAACCTATATGAAAGTCACGTAGAGGAGTTCTTTACTCGAGACCGTGACGACTACGTTGATAGGGAAAGACTTGCCTGTGTTCTCTTGACTCGTTTTCTTGTTTTGAACAAATTGTTCTGTAGTTTGGTTTTCTACTCCGCCATAAGATCTGGGAGTAGAAAGAGGGAGAAAGTCTCGATCAAAATCTTGGAAGGCGTTGCGTATAGTGCATACCATATGTGTCAGGAACCAAGTAAATATCTTCATATTCTTCATTTGTTCCGGCACTATCCCATATTTATTTTCCGTTTCACTCAGGTCTTCTTTACCTCGTGTTTTCTGTACATCGACACAAAGTGCAATGGATTCTCTGACATTTTCATTACTAGTTGATTCAGCTTTTTTACTTTATAAAACGGTATATAATTTTTACTTTCTCGGTCTTACTTCGTAACAAGAGAAAATTATGTAATCGTGTGCCGGAAAACGGCGAATTTCGGAAGAAAAACTTGGCCTTTTTTGATTTTTGAAGACACTTAACGTGAAGCCTCAAAAACATTTTCTCAAAAGTGGCGCCAAATTTTTTGATTAAACTTTGTCCTCGGATATCGAAAAGGACGCTTAAGAAAATGATGCAGTTATCATGTTTTCTGAAATCTCAGATTTTTCGGTAACTGGAAAAGTGCAAGTTTATTAGCCGTGGCGCACTAGCCTTAGCGGTGGCGTAGAGATAACGCTTCGCGGTGATCACGTCCACAGTCAGTCGGGTGGGAGCGCGAGTCGTGAGGTCGCGTGTTCGTCGCACCTCCCAAACGCCTCGCCGTGCCCGCCGCGCCGCGCCGCGCGCACGAGTGGCAGCGCGCCACGCCGCGCCGCGCAGGGCCGTCCGTGTCCCCAGCGCGCATGACAGGTGGGCGTGGCGGAACTTGCGAGTGCGATTATGCCGTGCATCACACTTCCCTTCGTCTCGTTATGGGAGGCGTTCGGATAAACAACTTGCGAAAGTATCTGGCATTTTGGGTCAACATCAACATCATTGGCTTTCATGAAAGAGGAAAAACATTTTTTATTTCCTCGTATATGAAGTGTACAGAAAGTTATGTAATACTGCGAAAAATCGATTTCAAGACTATCTCAATAAAGGCTTTTATTTTTCATTTTCAGTTCTTAAGAAAAGGAAGTATACTAATAGTACTCCGGAATAGGGCACATTTTGGGCAGAAAAAAATCTTATTCCCGACCCTTGGTAGTGAAAAAGTGGATAAATCGTGTTCCTACTTGAGTATATAGAAAATTACTTCCTCTAACACGTGCAGACAGATATGATGTTTTCGCGGGTCCTTGATGCAGGGCACCATATTGATGACCTTATGCCCCTCAGTTTCACTGCGGGGACGAAGACCGTGATCTACGTGGGCTACAACTGACGGCGGCGGCGTGGGATTGCGTTCTTCAGTATCAATCTTGGTGTTACTTGATATTCCGCGGGTCAAAGCTCGTTGAGTTCTACGTAGGCGACAGGAAGCACGCGTGACTGCCACAGCCTGGCGACATCAGCCGTGCCGCGCGGAAAAGCTATCCGTTTCATTAGCCGCTTGCGCCATCCCGCTACCGAAAGCATCTCGTATATTATTAGGCAAGTAGGGCCTTCAGAGACGGGACGTTATTCCAACAGTGCAAGAGGCATTGAAGCGTGTCAAGACTGCATTACGATACTCAGACAATATAGAATCAATTGTGGAGAGAGAACGAACTGTGAAGAAGGATCTAGAGAAATTACTAAGGAAAAAGTACGAAGCAAACAATTGAAAAGAAATTGAGCTTTTAAGGACAAGTTAAGATGTTAAAATTTTCAGTTCGTGCTGTTAATATATTTTGCTGCATGCGATATTAATTAAATCAATCGTTTGGAGAAATTCTGCTTAATTTTGTTATCCTCAGTTATAGTGAATCAAAAGAGTTAGTCCCCAGATGTTCACTATAACCGGTGCCGACAATACATGTATCTGCTACAGTACAATTTTCTTCCCTACTTTGTGCCACATTTCCTTTCAATAACTTATAACTTATTATATTTGTTAATTCACTAAATAATCTACAGTTTGCAACTAATTATCAGAAAAAATTCAAAGTTTATACTATAAAGCATATACTGTGTAAAAGAAAAGACAAATAATGTGTTTTGTTTTTTTTATTTTTAGAGCCACCTCAAATAGCACCTTTCCAGTTTCCAAGCAACTTGCAAGAAGGGAATAGAGCACAGGTGTCTTGTAGCATTATTTCTGGAGATCTACCGATTAGTATTTCTTGGCGCAAGGATGGTGGCCCCCTACCACGAGAAGCAGATGTTCATGAACAATTGCATGAGTTTGTAAGCAATTTGCTGTTTAGTGACCTGGCTGAACGCCATTCTGGATTATACACCTGCATAGCAAGCAATGCTGCAGCAGTTTCCAATTATACCACAAAATTGGTAGTAAGAGGTAAGAAATAATAGATGTTGTAAAACTTCCATTAATTTTGTGTTTTCACAATAAATGTATTTGTTGTGATAAAGATAACAACGATAATTCTTATATTTTCAGTGGCTCCAACTTGGTTGATTGAACCTCAAGACTTATCAGTTTTGTTTCATCATTCTGTTTCTTTACACTGTCAAGCAAATGGCTTTCCTTCCCCTTCAATCACCTGGATGAAAGCCAAAGGTAAAATTGATTTATAGAAACAATAATTATATTACAAAATTTCACTAAAAGTATTTCTGAAATTTATCTCAAATTATTCTATTTACAGGAAATCAACCAACTGACTTTGTTCCTTTAGAAACCAATCCCCAAATAATATTGTCAAGTAATGGCTCAGTTATGATACGAGCAGCAGATCCCACTCACGAAGGTCATTATACTTGTCAGGCAAGCAATGGTATTGGCTCAGGCCTGAGCAAAGTTATATTTTTGCGAGTGAATGGTAAGTGAATTTAAAATTAAACTGCTTACAATTCATTATATTAAAATTTTGAGAGCAGAATCATATCTTGTAAATAATGTGACTTGAATTCTATTTTGTATTTGTTTTTATATTTTGTATTTATATTTGAATTGTATTAACTATGCATGATTATGCATATTTAGAAGTTAAACTCTATAGATATTTTTTCTCTGCAAAAATATTGTAATATACTTTTCTAAATTGCATATGCACTTCATGAAGTTGCTAAATATTAGACATTAGATCTTTAGGCTCCTATAATGAACAAGTGGTATGGCTATAGAGTTGGTTTCATCCAGGATAGTAATGATGATGATATCTCCCCTCACCCACTTCAATATAAAAATGTATTGTGTAGAATAGTCTACAAACATATTAATGACATGAAAATATTTAGTTGGACAAAGATTATGAAACAACTAAATATGTTTTATGATGCCACACTATGTGTTCGTATAGTAAGACTGAACAAAAAACTCAACCTCTACATAACAATTACAGTCACAAACTGGGTGCTACTCTGATGCATGTAGACATGTTCTAAAAAGAAATAGAAATATTTATTCATTAATTTATTTTTAAATAAACAAACTACATATTTTTTCAAAAAAATTTGAGTAATAACATACAGTTTGTGACCAAATTATTAGGGACAGTACTTGTATTTGTGTAATTTCTTGTTTAAACCTTTTTTTGAGCAAAGGTTTTGGTTTCAATACAATTTGTGGCATTTCTGATATCATTACTATTACTTTACTACTCTCAACATTGTATTTAAGAAATAAGTGATGTTACATTCATTCAGTTGACATTTATTGAAAACTATTTATCGAATGAAGACATACAAATTATTTTTTATTTTTTTGTAAGTTTTTCCTTTCCAAAATAATGAAAACATAAATATTGTTCCTTACTGCATTACTTTTACTAAATTTTATGAGTGAATTTCATTTTAGTTTACAATGTAACGCCACAATCTCCAATTTTTTTATTTCTTAGTAGGGTAAAACTTCAGACACAACTCCAAGGAAAATTAGAGAAATACAAACACTATTACTTCACTCCACACATTGACAGAGAGTTATAGCAACTTTGGCAGGTGTATTGACAACTGTCATTAACAGAATAAAACACTTATTCTCCAAGACTAATGAAATGACAAAGATTTACAAAATTTGGAACAATACAATAATTACTTCTCACTTAAATACAATAATTATTGCATTGTTCCAGAATTTGTAAACTTCTGTCATTTATTCCATTTGTAAATCTTTGACTCTGTGAATGCAGAGTATAACAAATTTTTGAAAATGTAATTGATTGTTTATGATTTACTGAGTACATGTATGTTGTGGTGGACCACAGCACGTTATCCACCTTAACTTAAAAATGTAATACATTGCATATAATTTCAACACAAATATTTTTGTGAAGGATATGTGAGTTAAATGTTCCAGGATATTTTGTTTATATACACACACTAATCTTTGTATTTAAAAACATTCAATCTTCAAATTCAAAAAGCTTTTTAGTCTTTGCTTTTCTAACTATAACCTTAAGAAACATCAACTGCTTTTGATAGTTCAAATAGAACTCATTCAACAGAACAACCAAAAACAATTACTTTCCAAATAGCTGGGTTTGAAAATGATATACTGACAAACGATGGAATATTAGCATTCATTCTATTAATTTTAAAATATAATTAAAAATGTATACTATAAAACCTGTTAATAATAGCAAGTAACAACACATCTAGAAACTTTCATTTAAAGAAAAAGTCACAAAATTTCATTGAGTAGAAAGCTCAAACTTCCCTCTAAAAGAAAACCCTTTGTGTTTTAAATATATAGATTAAGTACATTAATATGAATGTTCTGTTTTGATTTCTTAATCTATATCTAAAAAATCATATTTACATGAAAGCATAGTCTTGCCTTAGATTTCCAAAGATAAATTATTGCCTTCCTACACCATCAATAGAAAACTTCAGCAATTTTCAAATATTCAAGTTCATTCTTTCTCAGAGCAACTAATTATCCACTCTACAAATTTTCATTCAAAAAAATGTTTACAACCTTTTTATTATAATTTTTATTCACAGCTAAAAGGGCAAACTGTCATAAAATTGTACTAAAACTGTGGAGAAACTGTTGTGACCATAAATGGGTTAACTTTGCTCTTCTGAATCAGTTGTTTGAATTAGCAAGAAAGAAGCTAAAATGGGTCTTCTGTAGAATATTTTTATTAATAATCTTTGGTTTCCTTTTATATACCTCTTGATTACTTCACTCAATTTTTGAATTTGTATTCAACGACTTTTTTTTCTCTTTCTATTCAGTCCCTGCCCATTTCACATCAAGGATAGTTAACCAAAGTGGGGTAGCTGGAGAAGATGTAATGCTCAGCTGTGAAGCCAAGGGTGATTTGCCAGTTCATGTTACGTGGTCTACATCTCATCGATCATTGACCCCCAGCCAGTCACAAGTAACAGAGGAGCAGACTAGTTCTGGCCTAATTGCCAAACTTCATCTAGATTCTTTGAGTCGTAGAGATGCAGGGCCATACCATTGCTCAGCAATGAATGAATATGGGCAAGATGAAATGATGATTTACCTGACAGTAAAAGGTTAGTTGAATCATGTGATTAAATTTTCAAAAATTATATTCAATTATATTACATTTTTCGACACTTTCATGTAGTCAATTTTTTCAAAACATCTACTTTTAGAATGATTTGTAAACTTATAATTTAATACTTACATATATCATTGAATAATTTGGTAGTAAACTGAGATTGTCAGACATTAGAAATTGATTGTACAAGGAACACAATATTCCATGTAACTTACATAAATTTTTGTATCTTGTTGTGTAAAACAAGATGTAATTGTTTGCTTCTGTTGACAGAACCACCAGAAGCTCCTGAGAGAGTTGAAGTGATAGAAACAGGAAGTCGCTGGGTGAGTGTAGCCTGGAGAGCTCCTTATTCTGGCCACGCTCCCATCAATTATTATGTGGTGCAGTTTCGAGAGGAAGGAAGTAGTGTTTGGAACAATGTCACTGTTGGAGGAGCAGCCAGAACAGCTCGTATTGGTGCATTAAAGCCAGCTTCTTCATACACACTACGATTATTGGCAGTAAATGAAGTTGGAGCTGGAGCTCCAAGTGAAGGCACCGATGTTCTCACTTTACAAGAAGGTAGGAATTGCCAGTCACTTCTTATTGTGTCTTTTAGTAAAGTACAGTAAAAGTAATTTAAAAATGTACTTAAAATAATTTCCTTTGCCTTTTTGTTATTTACAGCTATGCGTAACTTTCTTTAAAATAATAAAAATACATAACTTTCTTTTAAATAATACAAATGTTAAACGTTAATTTAACAGAGTCTAATTGGAATTATATATGTGTTATTAAAAGATTATTCAAAATACTCTATATTAATAATATTTTTTTATAAAGAAAACAATTTAATAATACTTCTACCTTTTTTTTTTTAATTATCAAGTTAAGGAAAATTATATTACAGTTCAATAATTCGTATAAAATAAAACCTTCTCCGAAAACAAAGATATCATTGTAAGAGATTTGTTTTCACAAATAGCGTGAGAATGTTAATAATTAAATACCTCATAAATGTACTGCCTTTTCAAAACAGAAAACATTTGAATTAGTGTCCCATGTTAAAAATGACTTAGATTTTTTAGAAATGTTTTGTAAATAAATACTATATGCACTTCCACAGCACCAAGTGGACCACCAATAGATATAACTGTTGAAGCAACTACTCCTGAAGTGCTAATAGTTCGTTGGAAGGTAATAAAAACTCAGTTACTTCATTTTTTAAGGTAATAATGGTGAAAAAATGGCTACAGCATTTGTTTTTTCTGTGAAGCCTCCTTTACTCAGTTATTCTAATGGAGATATCTTGGGTTACCAAGTTGGTTACCGTGAAGATTCACCAATTGGGCAACAACAACAGCAACAAGTGAGAACTGTACGAGGACGGCATCGCCTTGAAGTGACACTCACTGGCTTACACCATTATACACGATACGAAATAACAGTGAGAGCCTTTAATCAAGTTGGTGCTGGTCCTGCATCTCCACCTCAAATTGTCACAACATTGGAGGGTGGTAGGTAAATATTGCATGATCTGTGTTATTAATCCCAGTGCACAAGCCATCTTTAACTCTTCTTACATCTCTTTTTTTAACAAGAAAAAATTAAACTCTATCTTATTTAAAAAATAATGAATATCAATACTTTTCCTTAAAAATAATTAAAGTAACACTTGCAACAAGAAATTATACCCCATTGAATTTTGAATTTGATTTTTTCATTCCTAAATTAGCAATAATTGTTATTCACTTCCTGTTTTTTTCTTTCTTTTTAATGAAATGAACTCAATGGCATAATAATATTTTTCAAAAAGGTAAAGCAATAAAATGTTTACTACATATTGTCTTTCATAACACCCATTCTAATTTTAGTAATTGTTATCAATATATTTATTCCTTAATGAACAGACTGTAACACTTCCATTAACTTTTCTTCCTGTTGTTCTTAGTCTTCTTGTAAGTGTTCTTTTTTATTATCCCACTCCTTTTACTTTCTATCCTGTTCTGTAAGTTAATTTTCATTACCACCTCTTTAAAACTGTGTCAAGAAATGCACATTGTTAATGGTCCTTATGTAACTATGACCTTTCATTGAGACTTCTTTTTGCTAGTTACTTCAAGCTTGTCTGTCACTGTGTAAGTGTAGCATGATTTTGCATCACTGTTCGAGTCCTTGCTTAATGTGTTTGTGATCATTTTCACTCTGCACATACAATTTTTAAATTTATTGGTGTCTCACATTATTATTGCTTTGTTTTCAGACATTTTCCCCCTTTCATCATTCCCTGTGATCAATAAATGTGTACTTTCAATCAATAATTCTCAGCAGTACAGCAGAAAAACTCATCAGTTGTTTTAATTTGCACAAGTATTGTGGTCCATTGAATTTTTCTGGATACAAGTAGTGTTGTTCATTTCTTCGCTAAGAAATTATGATGGAATCAAAGTTTAAATACATCCATCTTGAATTATGGGATTTTGTTGAGAGCTCAAATGTTATTTAATATTGAGAGAGAGTAGCCCTATAGTTAAGCTGGGTAAGGGATGGAAACTGAAAGTTGTTTATACAAATCTTTAAAAATGAAATTATGTTTACTAAAGAAATTGTGGAAAACCATTGAATATGTATTTAAAATTAGTCATTGAACGATTGAGAACTTTTGAAACCATTGTTTCAAGTTTCTTGGAGGAAGTATGAGACACATGGAGGAAAGAAATATGAATAACTCAAAATTCTTTATTATGCTTTACTTTGTGTCATAGCATTGTTTTCAGGTTTAATTAATTTGCATGTTTCTGAACCATGGCATTCATTTATAGTTCCAGATATGCCTCCCCAAGACTTGCGCTGCTCTGCTCTATCTCCTCAAAGCATCAGAGTGCGTTGGAATCCTCCTGCACAAGAACATCGGAATGGCAACATAGAAGGATACAAAGTTTTCTACAAAAATGTCAACACCCACAAAGGTATTCCCGTGTTATAATAAATGTATATATTAATTGTATACATTTCAAAATACAATTCTACTTTGATCAGCGACAAGGCTCAATCAAATACAGTTCTTTACTAACATCATTATAAAGTTTTCTACAAAGCATTTTTCTTATATTTGTTATTAGTTAATAAATATTGATATTAAATAAAACTATTAGACTGCAGAAGCAAAAAATGATGCAGAACTACCACATAATATGATATTTCAAAAACCAACGTGCACATAGTTGAAGAACAACGAATAAAATACTTTCTTATAACACTACAATAAATTAAATAATAACAAAAACAGTTTTCCAAATACTGCAGTAATATAGAGCTCATATATAATCAAGTTGTTGAATTGTTTTTGTATTTTTCCTTATTTCCTGGATATTTTACAACACCATAGGTATCCTTCACATGGCCAGAGGCTGCATAGTTTTCTTTCAATTTTCATGCATTTGGATATTAATAATGTAGATAATAATTTTGAATTTTAGGTTCAGGCGATGTGGAAGTAAAGAAAACTACAAATTTAGAAACAAATTTGCATGGGCTAGCAAAATTTTCTAACTACAGTGTTAGAGTATTGGCTTTTACCTCAGCAGGAGAAGGCATTCGTTCATCACCGGTATACTGTATGACAGAAGAAGACAGTAAGTTTTCTGTAACAATGAATTTGAGCCAAATATGTTACACTCGGTCTTCATCTATTAACAATTATTAATTTCAATAGTACCAGGTCCACCAGAGCAGATCAAAGCACTGGTCATGACATCTGACAGTATTATGGTGGCTTGGACACGACCTTTGGACCCTAATGGCAACATTATAAAATACAATGTTTACATACAAACATTACCTCAACATGGAAATAAGGTAATAAGTCTTAAAATTTTATTTGACACATTAAGTCAGCATGAATTATGAAACTCACATTGTTTTAAAATGGATTGCCTCACATTGCTATTTATTTAACAAATTGTAGTACTATATTGACTTTGTGCTAAACATAGTAACTTTTAGCTATTTTCTATATTGATTTATCTTGTTCTATTAAGAAATTTTGCTTTTCAGCAGGATCTTCACAAAGAAACTGTGTTCGGAGATCGTGAATTAATTTATGAGGCTCGCCGTTTAAAAGAATTTCAGCGTTATGAGTTTTGGGTAACAGCATCTACTCTTGTTGGAGAAGGTCCAACAAGCAATAAAGTACCTCAATCTCCAATATCACGAGGTAGGAAAGAATAATCTAATTTTTTGTATGTAATTTTTAATAATTTCATATTTATTTCAAATTTCTTAAAAGAAAATGTTTATTTTCAGTACCAGCTCGAATAGCTTCATTTTCACAGCAAGTCATTGCCGGAGCAGGCAAAAATGTTGTGCTTGCATGTCATGCTGTGGGTTTACCTGCACCCAATAGACAGTGGAGAAGTCCTTCTGGAACCATACTAACAACTACTTCAGGAAATAGGTCACATAGAGTTCTCGCAGATGGCAGTCTTGCTATGGGTCCTTTAAAACCTGATGATGCTGGTAATTATTCTTGTTTAGCAGAAAATGTTTTTGGCAAAGACGAAGTGTCATATGGGCTTATAGTTCAAGTTCCACCAAGTCAGCCAGTGTTAACCATCCCAGCAACGACTATGCGCACCATATCCTTACAATGGAAAGTTGTTGACAATGGTGGAAGCCCAATTACAGGTAGGCACTTATATAAAATATAATGTTTGGTTATTGCTTTTTATTAAAACATTCTTTTTGTTCACAATGATACATGGTATTGTGTTTTTAGGTTATACTTTAAACTACAAACGGGAGTTTGGTGAATGGCAAGAATTATCTATTGACCCTGATCGCAAGACATACACTTTAGATGGAGTAAAGTGTGGTTCTGTTTATCAGTTATATATTACTGCTATAAATGGAGTAGGAAACAGTAAATCAAGTTCAGTAGTAACTGCCAATACCAAGGGATCAGGTAGGCTATTTATAATGATCAGTATTATAATGAGTTATTGTAATGTGTATTTTCTTGAACTCTCATTTGCTAGATAAAAGGAAATTTCTGGTCATCAAATTTTGTCAATAATGATAACTGCTATCTTTTATATTATTCTATAATTCAACCAATATTTGAAAAGGATTAGGCTAGAGATTCCACAATTCATGAAGATGTGCTTAAAATACTGATATTTCTACTCATTTGTTAACTCAATTTTTTCCCACTTCATTAGCACCGAGAATTCCCTTACAAGATGATTTGTTGGTGGTTAACTCAACCTCAGTAACACTCTTCCTGGATGCTTGGCCCAGTGGTGGTTGTCCACTTCAGTATTTTGTTGTGGAATATAGAGCACGTACACAAAGTTCTTGGACATTAGTTTCAAACAATATCCAACAAGAAGAACTTATCATACCAGATCTTACTCCTGCCACATGGTATGCTTTGAAAGTCACAGCTCACAATGATGCTGGTTCTAGCATGCAGGAATTTGTGTTTGCCACAAAAACAAGAGGAGGAGGTCAGTAACAAAAAATTATTAGCATAATTAATTATATGTTTGCATGGAAAAATATTCATTTTGTTCTCCACAGACACACTTCTCTCAGAAATGGTTCCTGATACTTCTGAACAGCAAGGTTCTTTTTACACACATCTTAATGTGATCATTCCAATTGTTTCTGGGATCATATGTACTATAGCAGCATCTATTTGTGTGTGTATTATTGTACATAGACGGTAAGTGTGATAGTTTCTTTCTAATTGATATAAATTAATATATTAAATAATAACAAGTTAGCAAGCATTGATATCATTTGTAATAGTAACTCTAAAATGTTTCATAAATCAAAATAATTTTTTATATCCAGGCATTATGCAGGTTATAAACCAGGTGACTCTGGCTATGGCGCTAAGTCATTGGCTGAATTGGAAAATCAACGTAATAATGACCAGCAGGGTAGTCAAGGTGGACAGCTGTATTCTCCTTCTCCTGCAAGAAAAGGAGACTCATCTCTTAGTGTCCAGAAAGGCAGTGACACTTCAGGTACCTTTGTGTAAATTTGAAAAAAGTATGACTGTGAGTGAAAAGGCATATATGAAAATAGTAATAACCTTCTGTTGGCACAGAATTGAATGTAATTTCAATAAAGAAACAACTGTCATAATCTTTAAAAGTTAAAGAAAATTAAAAAATATCTTGCAATAATTTAAAAGTTTATTAGTTTCTGATGTGTTTCATAAGCACTTCCTATCAACCATGGAGTTTGTCTATGGTCATTCGGTCTTCAGTAAACAAAAAATATAAAATTTACCATATTGTTCAGGCCAAGACTACGAGATCTGCCCGTATGCTACCTTCAGCTTACCTGGAACAGGTAATGCCAACCAGACCATGGACTATTCCATGCAGTTCCAGACATTCAGCCAACAGGAGTGTTATGCTGGCCAGCCGCGTCCTAGTACATCAGGTTATGGCAGCAAATCCAACAAGGACTATTACTCTCGAGTGAGAGCTAAATCCAATGGTTCACGCAATTCCGCAGAAATAAAAATATCCAGATGTTCGAAAAGCCCACCAGATGGTCTTAGTTTGGGTGAGTGAAGAGATATATAGGATATCATTAAAAAAAATCATGAAAGTAAAAGTGCTTTGCAAAATCAATTATTGCATTCAGTTTTTATCTTTTGGGTTAATTGTATGACTCTTGTATGCTTCTTTTGTAGTTATTGCTGTAGTTCATATTATATAATAATTTCTATTCTTGTTTATAATTGTTTGCATTGTGCTCATGTACATAAAAGTAACAAGTTGATACTTCTTTTCCTCAAAAATGTAATTTCTGTAATTAAGAAAAACATGAATTGACAGAATAGAAATGAATTTTAAATTATTAATTGTTGACTAGGAAATGAACAAACATGTTAGTGGAGTTTTTCTTTTAGCATTGGAAAGGATACGTAGTATTTGTTACATCAATATACATTTGTATTCATGAAATTGAGGTTTCATTAAATGTTTGGAAGCACATATTAATAAACAATTATTTCTTTGGGCTGTCAAGACAGATTTTAAAATGTTAGAACCATTGAGGAGTTATATTTCTGATGAAATTCTTCTTTATCTTCAAGATTTGAATTATAACAGTAAATTGATAGAATAAATTTTCTTGGCATAAATTTTCTGCATAATTACAGTCAAGCATTTAAAAGAACATGTTTCTGATTGAAATTCTATGAATTAGGTAATACAATTATTGATAAATCTGGCCAGAAATAAAAAATTATATATATATTTTTTTTAACACAAATTCTTTTGCCCATGTTGTGTTTTAATAGAGACAACTGTGCATGTGTTTAAAAATTATACTCACTTTTTAAATGTGTGATGTTTGTTTATTGTATCAATGTAGGTAGTGAATAAGTCAGGTTTAGTTAATGGATCATTCTAAGGAACAAACTCATAAACATAAATTTAAAATCAGAAAGTAAAATCATTTATTTGATTGAATGATTGTATAATCATTTATTTCAAAAAAGGCACAAGTTGGTGACAAAACAGTGTCATGAGACCAATAACAATTCATATACTTTATACCAATAATAATTACAATTTGGAAACTTGAAACTGACAGAAGTTGCATGACAAAACGAAATATGCTCATCATAGGGCTGAATGATTAAGATAAATAAGTTTTTATAGATTTAAAATGTCTTGAAACTTTATGCTTTTGAGGTATTCATATTTTTTCCAAGTGCACTTCATTTGATTCAAGGCTCATTACTTGAGTAACAAATTTGTCTCCTTAAAAAAAAAAAAAATTACATGAAAGAACAATCATTTTGTGATCTCTGCAAATTTTCTCAAAAAACAATATAAGTTAATTTCTTTTGTGCATGTTTTAAAATTTTTGAGAAGAGAGTGACAGAATGCCATGTAGATAAAACTGTAAATATGAAAAGTATTGTATAATTAGAGTGAAATGGAATGTGTGAAATTGGAGTGAATGACCTTCATATTTTTGACCAATATAAGATGTTAAAAGAATGCCAATTTGAATATGTTATTTGTACTAATTTTAGAAATGCCTTGTGCAGAAATCTCATGCATTTCAAGTCAGCAGACACTGCCTGTGTCTGTAGCTGCAGCCAATTCAAGTCACCATAGACGTAATAAATCACCTCCCAACCAAAACCATCGTGAGAGTCATAGTAGCAGCAGTGGAATTGGATTCGGTCACTCTCGCAGTTGTTCAGTTGGGGCAGAACGTGAACGGTCAGATTCAGACAGCAGCACAGGTGTTGGGAGTCCACGACGCAGAGAATCTAAATCTCATCCAACACAGTACCGATTGCCTCCTGCTAATCATAGGTCAAACAAAACACCTCACCATGGTCAGTACATACAATTTTATCATCTATTTTTTGTATAAAATCGCTAAACAGTTGATAAATGAATGAATAAAATTGTTCAACAACATTTTTTTTTTCTGTTATCCTGTTTTATCAAAATGATTTACTACAAAGTCAATTAATTACTACACAAGTTTGGGAAATTTTTAACATTACCTATAAGTTTTATAATTTGTCATTTGCCTCCAGCACATTCTATTGATAAGTTTACTTACTTTGTGTGTAATAACTGATATTCTTATTCATAAAATAAGTTTTAGATAATTTGTTGTATTTCTTTTTTTGGCAGCTTACTCACAATAACTATTTAATTCTGACTTTTATCAAATATTCATCAACTTCATACATTTTATGCCTCATTATTCTCCTCCTATCTCATTCAAGAGATAACAAAACCAAAATTTCAATAAAATTGTTTACCATTATTGCTAAAACATTGTGAAATGGTTCATTATTGACCATTTATGTTTGTTGTAATTTGCTTTTTAATTGTAGATCAATGACAAAAACTGTAATCTTTCAGGAGACTCAGTTTTTGAATTGGATTCAAGCACAGAATCTACAGAAGCATCTCCTGAGGTGAGCCACAGGAATCGACGAGGCATGGTACGCAGGGGGACGCCATCCAGGTAGTGCAAGTAGGTGCTGCAGTGGCAAAATGCCAAATCTAGACTTTTTTAGGGAAGGATTTGATCTGTTCACCATCTTATTACATATTTTATCTTTCAGACAAAATCCTAACAGTGGAGCAGTCTGCCAAGAGGTAGTACCTCTGCAGCCCCCCTCTGGCTTCTCGGATGGCCAGGAATTATCAGAGGCAGAATGTGATAGAGAAGCGGGTCGTGAAAATATCCCTGCTCTTCCATTATTTCGACATGAGGAACTTGAACAAGAATTGTCAACTCTTGTTAAAAGGTTTGTGCATCAATCAATAAATAATTCAATGATAATTCAATATGATGATCTTTTATTTTCGAGATTCGAATTTGAGTCACCGAATGCAGTGCATTTCAAGTGTACAAATAGACTTCTAAAGGTTCTTGGTAATGTGAGCAGTATGCAAGTTTGTAAATACACAATTCCTTTTTAAATGAATTGAGTGATCATACAAATGAATATATTAACATTATTCAGAGTTGCAGTCTTTAACATATTTTCAATTATTTGTAAACTATAACATTTATTATTTATTATCGTGTATTAACTGTTTTAAGCACTGTGGTTCTTATGGCTTGCAATAATGTTAAAAAATATATTTTGCTTTCATCCTGTAAAGTAGTAATTACAGAATTTCTTAAAGTTCTCAAATTGTCCTTGGAATGAAAGCAGTTGAGAGATACTGACCAAATTAAATTTTGCATTCATATTTCCTTATCAAATAAAAGGAAAATTTCAAAGTATTCAACTATTTTATGGGAATCAAAAGATTTTATGGGAATAGACCTGAGTTTAGTAATGGCACACATCCCAATCAATCTCTGTCCTGGTGGCAAATTGTCACCACATTTTGTTATTTGTAATAAATTATAGTTGTTTGAATTGTTAAATGATATGCATTATTCATTCACCTTCTGGAAACATCAAGTGATTTAAATGGCTCAATAATGATGAGAAAAAGATATAAATTACACTGCAGCTTATTAGAAGTGTTGGGAAAATCTTTATGAGTAAACATTGTTTTTTAAATTGGTTGCAACTTAATATAGAATATTACAGTTTTTGTAGTTAAATTTTTAACGTCTTTTTACAATACTCCTTGGTTGTTTACATTACAGCTATGATTTGTTGTGTTCAATATCTGATATTACATTTTTGAAAAATGCATTTCTGAGAAATGCAACATTTTGTTCCACAAGCTTTTTTGTTGATTTGTTTAGAAAGGTACACAAACATAAAATTTCTCTTCAACTTTTCTCACTGAAAATTTTAAAAATTTCTGGTTATCTATTAAAATTTTTGCCAGGGTAATGTAATCACCAGGTTGCCTTGTCAGACAACCTGGTGAATATGTTTCTCTTAAAAGTCACTAAAAGTTTAATTGGAAAATCCTAATTAGAGGATTCAAGAGCATTTGAAATTTCAACAGTATTTATGTTACAGCAGTTTTATCATCCTAAATTTAAAAAAAATATGGGTGCTAATAGGTCTTGAACAGTTCAAGGTATTTTAAGAATCATGAATGACACGAACAAGCATATGATTTACAAATTAATATTTTTGAAGCTGAATAACTCCGTAAGTAATACTATCCGCATTTTGATTGTCAGACTTACTCAGATCTCAAGTTAGCATGAGATCCTGTCTCAATATTATAAGCATGTTGATGTTAACTGCATTATTTTCATATCTGATTCACACATCTGTACTCTTTCACATAGGTACTCTTAGAAATACTCTTCAGGAGTGAAGCAAAATCTTCTACTTTTAGAAACATTTTATATGTTTTGATGTGAACAATTTCCGTTAATTACATCCAAATTCTATTATGTTTTGCAGATATCGCCAAGAACGTGATAGAGAGAAACAAGATTATACTATTCATGTTTAAAAAGTCAAGAATTTGTATTCAAGAAGTGCCATCAAAGAAAATTTTAAAACAAAATTGTATGTTTCAAAAATAATAAACCAGGAATTGATACAGTTTTGTATTGAAAACAAAAATTCAGTATTTCATTTTTCAATTGATGTAGGGGAGTATTTGAGGAGAATCTAAAATGGGACTGAAAAGCTTCAAGAAAAAGTCTGTACTTCCATTAAAAAAATTTTGATAAAATATTCCATGAAATTTCAAACATATCATATATGATAACATTTGAGAAGAAATTAATTGAATAAATATGATTACAGAAATATAATAAAATCAAATGAAAAATAATTTCTAACAAAATACTTATTCCAGTCCAAAATTGCATTGCATAATTGAATGCTATTGGCCAAAAGTAAAAAAAAATGCAGAGCCTGCATATTGTTTATGAAGTTCATAATTCAGGTAACATTCATTGGATTGTTGCAGATGAATTTTACAAGGGCTTACAAATCTGAAAATTAGACGTCTTACTAATCATGCTGCTCTTAACATTTGTAATTGTTTACTTAATGTACAGAGAAATATTTGAAGCATTTGCAGAACATTTATTTTGTATGTATATAACTGTATTTTAATAAGTTGAAACTGTGATGTCATATTTAAAACATATGAATATTTATAATACATATATATCCATAAATAATAATTATTTGTTTTTTATTGTATTCAACTGTGCTTTCCTTTCCTATTCAATTAGAATAAATAAGTAAATTAAGTTTATTAGTAGGTTAAAACATTAAACTAGCCAACCTGTGTAGCCAAGACTATGTGTTGCTTTATTACGCCACGGAGCGGTCTCGGTTCGAAGAATCATTCCCATACATTTGCCCGTCCTTCCATTACCCTCTCCTCCCCCACAACCGAGAAGGACACGTACAGGTTAGACAATTATGGAAATATCAATGCAAATATAGGCTTCATATGACCCCTTCCCCTGTAAAGCAACGGCAATTCGAGGTTCAATACCTCGAAATAATTATGTAACGCTTGCGTCAACTTGCTTTTTTATAAAAAGTAATAATAAATTATTCAATGATATAAATACTTAATTAATGTTGTGTTAAGTATTGCAATTTATAACAAACAAAGTTCAATATTTGATATATAAATTAGAAACGGATACATTCATTATTACACTTAAAACTAATAGGTACTTATATTTGAGATTTACTTTTTGACAACCGAGAACTTCACTTTTGATAATGACAGATTTAGTTCAGTTTTACCCTGAGCGACTAAGGAAAAGTCGTGGTGCCGTCCGTACTTTTATCACGAAAACAGAAAATCTTCATCATTGAAAATGATTCCCGATGAATACTACGAATTGTGTGCGGCTGGTGGGTGCAGTTTACTATTAGAACAGGCTTTAGGCGCGAGAGTATCCAAAACCATTCGATTGCAGTTACTCTTTTGATTATTACAACACATTAGTTGTGTAAAAGTGCAGGGTACCACAAAATGTGTGAAGTTTATCATGAGACGCCATTAAAGATGGCGGATTTACTACACCATCTACTTACGTAAAGTAGAGACGTTGATTAATGCTTAGGCTGAAATCGGGGTTTTCGTCGGAAAAAGTTGTATTGTAGACTGATGAAAGCGCAAGTAGATAATTCTTGTTCCTGTGTGTAGCAAATTACTTTATCTAACACGCTGTCTAGCCAGAATTCGCGTTTTGTGTGTCCTTGATACCGAAAAGTTAGTTTACAACAAAACGCGTAGCTGACCGTCCGTCTGTGAACATCAGCAACGGCTGCACCTAAGGCAGATTCTGAGCAGAATGATATTGATATTCCCCGATCGGATTAGCTGGTGGTTCGTGGTTCCTTCAATTTGAAATGTATAAATTTCGTTTTGGGGGGACATTTTACAAGCCCCAACGTTTTCGAAGTTTTCTCCAAAAAGGCTTAATTTTTTCTCAAATATAACAAATACTCAAAACGAAATAGGTTCCATTTTCGTTCAATTCTTTAAATTTTCTAAAATTGTAATGGGTTAATTTTTTCGCCGCCTTTCTACATCTACAATATTGATGACAGAGATATTTTCTCATAATAAAATATATTCTTCTAAATTAGTTGTTTAAATAAAGTCGTGTACAAAGATAATAGCGCATTCTTTAAGAATTTCCTTACATCCTTTTTTATATCTCGTATACGAACAAACAAACTGATGAACAAACGAAGAAATGAATGGACAAATGAACAAATGAATGGATGAACGAAGAAACAAATGATTCGAACTTGAGCACAAACTAATGGGGAAGCCAGACCTACGAAAAAAAAAATGACCAAGGAAAGAAATGAATTAACGACCAAACAAAGAATTATTGAACCAGCGAGCGTACAAAATATGAACAAACTAACCAATGAAATAACGAACAGCGAACTACTCAAAGAACAAAGGGACGAAGAAACGAACGAACGAAGAAACAAACCATGGAATAAAGAATAAATGAACAAGCGAACGTACAAAAAAGCAATAAACGCATGAACGCACAAGAAATAAATAAAGGAATGAACAAAAGAGCAAACGAGCATGGCACGAGCAAACCCACGAACAAAGGAGAGAACGAATAAATAAGCACGAAGGAAGAAACGAACGAATGAGCGAAGAAATCTATTTATTTGACTGGGGTATTGAATTTGTTCGTTCGTTCAGTAGAACTCATTCGTGTTCAGTACCATAATTTAAATGTTTTGTTCTTCTACCATAAACGGTATAATTTTCGGGTAGTTGTATGGTTGAAATGATTCAATTCAAATGGGCCAATTTTACGTGGAGAGACTCAGGGCATCAGGCCTGCTTTTCCGTCTGGCGACACGAATTTCGCTTCGCTCCTTTCACCACGTAGCGGAGTAAGAAGGAATTACTCGGGTGACGAATCAGGCGCTTTGATGATGTTTGTGTTTCAAAGGCTATAATAAATAGTGTAATATTTTTGCCATGCAATCAGCACTAGCGCCTAAACCACGCTAAGGGATATTTTAAAAATGAAGAAGCTCCTATTAATCTAGCTCAAGTTGAGTCCTTGCAAATGTTGAAGGATTCGCTTTTAGCTACGCGTATTTTTTTCGGAAGAATAAAATATAATAAAAGTGGCACAACGTTTTTATAGATTTTCTTCTAAGAAGAGAACACTGAAACTACATTTGTTCCACTACACCCGATTTTGAAATATTGGGAATTTCAGTGTGTAGAGATTACTCTCATAATGTTAATAATTTCCGTGAAATTCTTCATAAACTTGTTTTAAATTTTCAAAAATGCAAATACAAGATTTTTTCAAAACAGTTTCATGTTTTTAAAAGTTATTTGTACTGATAGAGAACAATTCACTGAGCAATTTGCCACAAGTGTTCTATTTTTATTAGACCTCCGAATTTTCAAAAATTATACCAAGGGTAGACCAGAGAGTATATGTGAGAGTATAGGGGTATACAACCTTTCTTCTTGGGTATACAGAAAATGTTGCAGGAAGGGAGCAACATATTTGATTCTCGCAATAAAGACATTGAAAATTTGATTTTAGTTAAACAAAAAATCGTCACATTAAGACTTTACTGAACTGAAAGATGAAATGAAATAATGTTACAAAGGAGTTTAGTATATACAGAATCCAATTTTGTGGAGTCCCAGGTACAAAAAAAAATTTTTGAACGTCTTTCTATGGGCACCTAAAATTAAATCTGTGCTGATCTCGACACCTTTTTCTGTAAAAGAAATATTGAGATATCATCTCCAACATTATTACGTATATTTTCTTTATTTTCACAAGTACACCAGTGTACATTTCGGCACTGGAACTGATTTTGTTAATGTATACACAGTTATTTTATGAAGGTTAGCATGATATTCCAAGTGTGTTCTTCTCGGAGAATTTCTTTAAAATACTACAAATAGTGGTTTGTACAACTATAAGACCCATACACATGTATTCGGGTTTAATATATCTTATTAAAATTATGTAGACAAACTATTTGAAAATGAAGAGTGGAATATAGGTGTTATGTTTGAACTGTTGGTTGTGATGAAGCCAGCTCCCGGCAGCGTAAATGATGGAACAGCGACCAGACGAGAGTGTGGGGCGCGAGCCGATGACCGTCTAGAATGAACTGAGCCTCAGGTTCACATCTGAAATCAAGAGGTGAATTGGTGCAGAATTACGAACACTCAAATAGTGCGGTGTAGACAGTTGATATGTGGGCTTTAAAAGTATAAAAGATACAATAGTTTACATTCAACTATAAATTAATTTATTAGAACGAATTATTGTTATCTTGCCTCCCAGGAGTTTGATCTAAAGTTACGCCAATGGCACGTGCTGCCGTTAGCTGATGGGTTAGTCTCTCACATAGCCCAGGCCTGTTTGTTGCTGTCTTCTGATTGCTACTGTTAGAACAACATTTTAACTACTCTATCTTCCGGGAGGAAGACTTGATACAGCCTTATAAAAATGAGGGTGGCCCACTCTAGTTCTACCCGCATATTACCGTATGTTACACATTACAAAATATCAAAAAATCCTTTTTTATTTAAAATTATTTCGGTTACTTTACCATTGGAGGTGAACTCTAATTTTGGTTCAAAATATTTTGTATTTCTACATTTCAATATGAAGTACAAAGCCCTGACTGGAAAATGTTTTAAAACAACAGATGTAGGTTTATTTTAGGTCACAACAACCACTTGGGTTGTTAACGACCTCATTTTCAATACATTTATAAACACATTATCATTACACTACATCATGAACTTTAATTGGTGCATTACATTAATCACAGGTTGAACTCAGTTCTTGATTTCAATAACTGTAGAATTTTATTCTTAACACAATACTGTATATGTATATATGGCTGTACAGGTTGATTCTTTCAGGAATTTTAGTTTGTTACACAGGTCCCTGTGTTTTAGCACTACAGCAGGTTTGTTTAGATTTCCAATTGTGCAACTGTGTATATCCAACCAGTTAGTGAAAATAGTGATGTTAAGCTTGAATGTTTCAATAATACAATTGTATAAAGTCTATGAAAACGCTGGATTTCACGTACTTGAAGCAACGGATTTATCTTCCGATTAGATTTTACTTACATTGATCTAAGAGAGGTGGGCTGACGATCTGCTCTGTTAGTTGGCTGTGTGTACTGGACATCAAAACTGTAACAAGGAAGAACATTTTTGTTTTTAATAGTAAAGGAAATCATAACACTACGTAACATACGAGAGTTGGGGCGGAAGTGCGATGTGGGACGTGTGGTAATAGAGCACCTGCCGGAGGGAGGCTATTCTGGAGAGCGAAAATGGTGTTAAGAAACGCTCACTCATAGGTCGCCCCGTGCGTTGCTAGAAACTGGATTCCATGACTCCCGGTCAGGGTTGCCAGATGTTTCGTGCAAACATCCGCCGTTAAATAGATGTAAATCTGTTCAATTCCGTCCAATAAGAATTCAACATCCCATCTCGATCAGGTTTTTGTCCAGTTTCCCTGATCCTTTGAACAAATGCTGAGATGGCCCTTTGTTTTGCTTCTGAACGTAAATGTGGCTTCACTATGGACACGTTGAATTCTCCTTTTGCTAGTAATGGTAAGAGTAGAGGTAAGGGAGAATTACTATTTTGTTAGCAATGCAGAAAAAGCATACTTGCAATTTCTTTACCGATGCAAGTAAGTTTTCTATAACTCGGAAACGAATTTTTTTTTTCAAATATTGCTAATCTTGCTATTTTTAAAATTTATTTTTATTTATTTATTTTAAACTTTTACTCATCTTTCAACTATTTATAGTTAAAATGACGGGAAGGGATTCTGGAACTCAAGAAAACGTGCGCAGATGAACATACACCCCCGTCACATACAGTTTTTACTGTTTTTTTACTAAATAAATCTAAAAAAATTCTAAGCGGGATATTTGAATTTGCATAAAAAATGTATTAGAAGGATATTTTTATATAGTGACTCGTTAAAATGCTTGCTTAGTTTAATTTTTTGTTTCTGAACATTGTAATTAATAATATTTAACTAAAAACGTGTATTTTTTTGTAATAATGAGTTTAATCTTAGTGTTTAAAAATTAGTTACAAGCATTCTTAGGATTACAGTAGATGGGAGGAATACTTTAAGGGATAAAATAATTCACTCACTTTCATATTTACACTATCCTTGCTTCTCTTCTTAAATACCAGTATTTAAAAAGATTACCACAGAAATGCTTACATATGCATGCTTATTCCCTATGGTTTCACAAAAAATGCTGGCAGTGCCACAGTACTTCCAAAAGATGACCACGTTTTAAATCACGTGTTCTAAAATGAGCTGCAATTCTGCTAATGTGATACATTACTCATGTGGTGCACAACAAAGTTGCTATGACTTTTAGAACACACTGTATACTACAGGTCTAAAAATTAACATTACTGACTTCTTGAAATAAATTTGAACGAATTAACTACCGATTAATAAAAAATCGTGTATAAAGAAAAAAAATTAAAAAATCAAGCACACTGTGAATGTTATAATAATAATAATAATAATAAAATGTCTTTATTAATGGCGAGGCTCAGGCCATAGGGCCTGCTCTTCCGCCTAACCACTGAATTTACATACATTTAGAACGTAGTACAACATTTTTAAGAGGGGATGAACAAAGCTGTACATTTACGTCTGGAGAGACAAACTCGGGGATCCATCCCGGGCATAGCGCCTAAGCGATTGATAAACCCAAAAAACTCAATCAGGCATGGGCGGCTTAGGGCCCGACACATTTAGTATCTGAGTAAGTTGTACATAGTGTGAAAGGGAAGTTTCGTAAAGAGAAAAGAGAGGTTCAGCCGGGAAGGGGTCTAAATTAAAAAATGATAAAATTTGTGGAGGAAGAGGGAAGAGAAAAAAGCGAAGAAAAGGACAAGAAAAAGTAGGCGAAAAAAGTGAAGTTATTTGAGGAACGTAGAGAAAGCTACGTTAGTTACGGTAGCTTTTTTCATAATATATCAATGTTTTAAACACAAATAAGGCACAATAACCACTGTAAGCAAATAACTAACAGTAAATGTTTAAACACAATACTGGCAGTACTAAAAGGGAACAATATACAAGAAGTGCTGGTATCTTAATCAACTGTTTGTTATATGCCAATATACTGTAGTAAATATCCTGATGGTACA